CCGCGGGACCCGTCCAGCGCTGCTTTGCCTTTTGTTCTTTCTTTTTTCCTTTTCTCCTACCAGATTTTTGGTGTCTTTATCTTTTGAAGAGGGTGATGTTCTGACGGAGTTCCGCAGGTGATCTGGTTGGCTGAGTGGGTCTGTAGATGTGGGTCTTGGTGTATTTGTGGGAGAGGGTGACTTACGAGTGTCCTTCTACTCCGCCATCTTGCCTCTTCTTCCAGTTTGTATTTCTCTTATTGTGAGAAAGGCTGAATATCTTTTCATATGGTTCATATCTTTTAAGGTTTCATATGACCTTTTAATAACTTTTTGGTGAATGGTCTGTTCATGTCTTTTGCTCATTTTTCTACATAATTTTTGCTTTCATCTCAAGTGTTAAATCTTCTAACTGGTTATAATTTATACATATGGATACAATTGAGTTTTGCATATTAATTTTATAGCTTGCTAGCTTATAAATTTTTCATTGAGTTAGTTTTATCATTCTCAAGGGTCTTCTAGATTACTATTAATGTCATCTGCAAATAGATAGTTTTTTTTTTGCTAATTCAAATGTCCTTAGTCATTTTTCTAGTCTAACCACATTTTCTTTTTTTGTGCTACTTTTATCAAGTTTAGGCATCAAATGTTATATACTTGCTTCAAGAAAAGTATTTGGAAATCTATCTTCTTTCCTTCCTTCCTCCCTCCCTCCCTCTTTCTTTCATACTCCGAACTCTGAAGCCATTTATGTAGTTTTGGGAAAAATTGCCAAAGGTTTAGTTAAGTTCTCCTGTGACACTATTTGGCCTGGTCCTTTTCTGTAGGGTAGTTTCTTGATAACTTTATTTCTTCAATGAAAATTGGTCTGTTAAGCTTTGTATCTCAACTGAGGTCAGTTTTAGCAAACTATATTTTCCTATGAAAACCTTTTAATAGGTGAGTTATTCCCATTTATGTTAATTAAGATGACTATTGTTTTCAGTCTCCATTCTGCTATATTGTCTTTTGTTGAAACTATTGTGTATGTTATATTTAAGGCATTTCTTTATTCATGTGTCCCTTTGCTTTTAAAAATTTGCTTCTTTTTGTAATTAGGAAGGTTTGCATTTTTGTCCTACAGGTTACCTTTGCATTACTACTTTTGGTAGTGCCTGAAATCCTCTCTATCCAATCTCTTTATTGTTTGGTGTCAGTTTGAAATGATATTCATTGACTATTATGCTTCGCTTATACAACAGAATGATTATATTCTATTCTCTCCTTTTTTCTCCCCTATCCTCTCAATGAAAAAAAAAATATGCATCTTTGATTTTTGTCAGACATATAATGATTACACATTATTCTTTTACCTGTGAATTCTCTCATTTTAGTCTCATGCTCACTGGAAATTCTCGCCAAAGTTATTCCAGTCATTTTTCTGGCTGGATGAAACACTCCTTCTCCCAGATTCCTCAGGAACGCTACATGTGGACATCATTCCCTGAATATTGGCACATTCTTGTTTCTTCACGGCCTTGAGATCTGAAAGTCAGCTTGGTGGTATACAATATTCTTGGTTTACACATTCTTTCCCTTAGTCTCTTGACGATATTGCTCCACTAATGCCTCACTTCGAATGTTATGTTAAGAAGGCTGATGCTGGCCTAATTCTGTTGCCCTAGTAAGTTACTTGACCTTTCCATCTAGAGGCGCTGTCCGTTTTTTCCCTCTATCTTTACAGACTAATAGTTTTACTAGAACATGTCCTAGGGTTGATCTTTCCACTTCAAATTTCCCTACTGCAAATAATAGCTTCAGGTCATCTTTTATTTCTGAAAAGTTATTCTCGGTTTATAGTTCTAAATATTAATGCTATTTAGCTGTTTTGATTTACTTATTCAAGAAAGTCTTTTACTTCTTTATCTTATTCTTACTTTTCTGGTTTTCTTCAATGCGTTTTCATTGTTTATATTCCTCGTTGGGCAACTTGTAATTTAGTTTTCATCTCTGACATCATTTTTTTCTTTTTCTTCCCTTCCTAGGTTTTATCAGCTGTCATTTTATTTCTTCCTGTTTTTTGTCATTTTAGTAAGTTTTTGATTTCTGATTGGAGGTTTTTTTTTTCCTTTTTTTTTAATGCCAAATTTTGTTTGAGGATATTAAATAGAGTTTGGAGTTCTGTGTTACAGTTTTGGTCAGCTTTGTGGTTGAACTGTTTTGGAGAGTCTTTGTCAAGAGGAAAGACTGAATTGATAGTCTGATTTTTACAGCTGTCTTGTAATAATGGAGACAGATTCTTTTTTTTCTTTTTTCTATTCCTTTTTCTTTCACAGAAAAGACTTCTTAGTTCAACAGCACCCTCTTCTGTGCAATTTCTTTTATGGATCATGTTGCTGATGGTTGTGGTGGGGGAATAGATGGAAGAGGTTCGGTACGTCTTGTTTCTCGCTCATTTCTGCAAGATCCTTAACTTCCCCCTCTAATTTCCTTCTTTTCCTTCATTTCCTAGTCTCAAGAGATGTCACCCCTTCTCTGTTTACTTGATTCTTCTCCAGGAGCAATGAATCTGCAAGGCTGCTACTTCTGGTTGCACACACTCTCTCGAGTCCTGAGAACCACCAAAACCGGGCCTGTGTTCAGTATTTGGACATTAACAGTTGCATTTTCTCTTTCTGGGGGTGATTTTCTTTGTAGCACTTCATCTAATGGCTCTGTTTCTCCACATTCTCCTGCAGAGTTTTTAAACTTTACCTTCCGTTCTCTGTAGCTCAGGTTTCAGTGGCAGGAAAGCTGCAGGAATTTGTCATAATTTTTTTTTACTCTATATGTATGTTGAAGGATCTGGTGTTCTCTGTCACATAGGAATTGAAGGCATGGGTCCTGTATGGTTGTATTTGCTCTGCTGATTTTATGTTTTCTGAGAGGATAATGTTGGGGAGATTCAAAATCAGGCAACTGCCATTGATATTGAACAATGTTCTCTTAACTTTATACTCTTATTAGTATTTTATTTATTTGTTTATCTACTTCATGATAATGTCACTGTACTTGTTTTTCTGTAAGCTACCTAAAATTCTTTGAAGAATGATACAGAGTGAAAATAAATTTTTACTTTTTATTATTAAAAAATAAAATTAAAAAAATTCTCCGCTTTGGAGGGGTTTTTCTATGCTTATTTTGATTTTATCGTTAATGAGGATGAGTAACAGAAAAGAAAAAAAGGAAAATGAAGAGAAAGAAAACAAAGAATAGAACAGGAATGAGATTTATCATTTCAGGCCATGGATATCTGGCTTTGAGCAATTTCAAAGAGGAGTTTTAACATTTCTTTGGCATCAGTAGCAGGAATTCAGCACAGGTATAGACCCTGCACGTGACTGCTTTATG